CAACTTAGGTAAGTAATATACATATCATGTGGGTCAATATAGCATAAGGTCAGATGATAAATGAGTGGAAGCGATCAAATAGCGATAAATTATGACAGAACGGATAGTCGTGGTAGTATATAGTCACGAGCATTCATGCAAATTCAGATTTGAGAAACCGAGTTAAAATATTTACCAATATATACGGGCAATCAAAATTTGATGCATGCTTTCCTTCCTTTCAAAGTGGAGCCAATGTGTATGTGATGGAACGGAGATGCTTATCCAAATAAATGCATATTAATACTGGCGTACCTTCCATTTCATTTGAGAAAGCGGGTCGAAGGGATTCGTGGATTGGCCGCACCGGATACCGCAGGAGGGTTGCCTTGGACTTTTGTCTGTTGAACTGTGCAAGGTCTTTTTCGCACAGTTCAACAGACAAAAGTCCAAGGCAACCCTCCTGTGGTATCCGATACGGCCAATCTACAATTACCTTTGACCCGCTTTCTCAAACGAAATATCAATATATTAAGCAGTGACTCCAAAACTGTGCGCCGCGGCGCCCCAGGGAGCCGCGGCCTCTTTACAGAAGCGCCGCGAAATATTGTAAAAGCTTCATTTTGAGAAATTGTGCAGTGATTTGCAGGCTTATCCATCACATTAACTATTTAATATTAATTTAATGTTAATAAAGTATAAAAAAATGGTGAAGGTACACGAGTTTTATTTATTTTTATCTCTCCCTTACGAATAGTCATACTTAGGTCGCCATGGAAAAATTTTGATTGAAAAAGGGCACCGTGACAGAAAAAGCTTGGGAACCACTGTATTAAGGGATTCATCGAAACCCAGCTTCTCTTAAAATGCATATTACTTTGTAAATCGTTAAGCGTACAAGCGCAAAACTATCCAAGAGAGTTAAGCGATGTAAATTGTAGATCATGCCGTAGACGAACTGCTTTTTAACTGTATCTTGCTGATTATTTTTATTATGAAGTTGTTAATGCAGTCTATTTATACCTGCCCAAAAAGAGCTTAGCGACGAATTGGCATAAGTTTATGACCTACAACTGTGTAGGAAAGTCGAAGAAATCTGTATTAAGATCGCTATAATAAATCATTCAGGAAAATTTAAAAACGAAATGAAAATCCCTTCAGATGAGCATCACAAGAGACAATTAAAATTAATTTGTATATGCATATTTTAGATATACTGGTTATGAATATTACATAACTTTGAGTATCATTCTGGTACGTTGGCTAAATATGCACAGATCGTCTAAACTCATTGGAGAAAAACCATTAATTGGCTTTTCATAAAAAAGATAAACTAAGAAAATCATTCAAAATATTCTTGAATTGCATAGTAACTTGCCAGATAAGCCGCCTCGACCTCCCCCTGTGCGCGTAAATAGTCCTCAAAATCCGCGCACAACTGGTAAAAGTCACCATCCACAATAGAGGCATGAAGATCATGAAAGAGAGTGGGATCGTCTTTCGAGAAAAAGCCAGAATATATTTGATCGAGGACCTTTGCCAGTTCAGGGCATTTATTAATGTAGGTTTGTGGCGAGTATCTAGAGTAACACAAAGCAGAATATAAAAAAATCAAAGGAATCTGGAAATCAAAAAAAAACGAAGACATTACTTTCTCAACTTTGATCTATTTTTATATCCAAGATCATTTCATCTTCTGAATATAATTCGTCATATAGAATGTTATGTGGAGATAAAATGATAAAAGGCTTAAAATCACAGAATGTGAAAATGATTTATTACAAATAACAGAGGAAGCTTTTTTTAATAAGCAGCCTTTTAAGACTACCAGTAGATAATATATATGAGACGTATTAATTCTATTTCATTCTAGGTGATGATCGAACTGGTAGACATCTCCCAATCTAAATTAGAATATTTTTTGCCCAAACAAGCCTATGTGAAATTCTATGGAAACCTAAGGTCTACTTATAGCATTATGGGTGAATTCAACTACAAGTCTCTTTGTCACCCTAAACGAAATAGAATAAATACATCTCATATAACCAAGCAAAT